ATTTATTTGACTTCGTGGTATATATATGTATACGCTCGATCGTATTATTGTATTGCGCAACAATACGACAAGTCGTAAATATATTTTCACGACCGACGCGAATTCTACTTTTTCGTCGGTTATATGTTAAATGTGAGAGCGTAAAGTTAATATCCCATTAACGATTCACCCGTCGAGACTGTTGAAGTTTCAGGAAGGGTTGACACTCACCCTGCCTCGTTCTTCCCGAAAAGGGTTTAACGTCCGAAGGGACTTAGGAACGTCGGAGGGTGCGTTTTCAGGGTCTTCTTCCCCCCCCCCCTCACCCCTCCCCAGTGTAATACACAAGAAGAGGATCTTTCCAACGAACTCCCGACTACGGATCAACTGCCTATCGTCCCATCGGTTCGAGACGATCGGAGGACTCGGCTGACAATAAATTTGTCCGTATCGCGTAAAATGACAATAGCAGGTATATATGTATACCGCAAGTGTACACACGTTACCTACGTACGTCATGTTGACACGAGTGCAATTTCCGGGTGCTGGAAAATCGTAGTTGCCGGCCGCCTTTGGCGAAAGGCGATCTTTACTTGACCAGTCGCTGCATCAGGCTACACCACAGTCCCTTTGTATATTCGTACCTGAGCAGTGTGATTCCTTGCGGCGGTAGTTGATGGTCGTCGCTTGGAAAGAGGAGCTTGATGAAATATCGTCAAGATATGTAGGAACTGTGCTGGTCGACGGGGTATTAGGCCGGTGGCATGTCGAGGGAAGGTTTTATGAAGAAAAATCGTTGGCTCGAAGGGAGAGGAGACTGTGAGACGTGGGTAATTATAATCAAAGGTGTGGCCGTATCGTTGCTGAGTATAACCACTACGCCCTAATGTAATTGGCTGAAAAGTAAGCAGAAAGGTTCATCAACCCTTAGGGGTACGTCATAAGGGACAGTACGTACGGATACGTAGTACGTAGGTATCCGACGGATACCTACGTTGGCACTGCAATGATAGAAAATGGAATTTAAGTTGATTCCTCATACAGTAGAAAGATACGTGTGTATGACGCTATCGAAGGAAAATTTGGGACCATACGTATCCTGATGATATCGGATCTTGAATTTGGATAGACAAGGATTTGAGGTTTCAAAAAATGGACTCGCGCTGAATTCACGTGAGCGTCGGGCCGCTCGGCGAGAACAATCAATATGCAGTACCGTTAGGTACAACAGGATATCGCGGCGACACTATGTGCGTGCTAGAAACGCAAGAGTAGGTACAGCGTCGTCTATCTTGCCAAAGCGGGTCGCCATTGGAGTTCAAGATAAAAAGTAAAAGCACCGGCTTACGTTGTTAGCGCTAAATGCGGTCAACTTTGCCAAGCATTCAAAATAAGTAGATCAATGTGTAAAAGAAGGAGGATTGATAAAGGAGCCGATAAAGGGTGAGAATGAAGGTAAAAATTTTTGTCAAATTATTTTATCACGTTACTGATTAAGTTTCTTGATTTTACGATGAAAAAGTATGCGATCGACGGATTCTGTATTTGGACTTGAGAATGATTGCAGGGAATGATAGTGAAAAAAAAAAAATTAAATCACGCGATATGAATTAATTCCCGAAAATTGCAGACACCATTATATCCCAAGGACTAAATGATTATTAAGATAAAGTGCATATGCCGGCTGGGTTCGTACTTCGTCTATATACCTATATATACCAGTTAATTCGCGAACGTGCCCATCTACGTATAATTTGCACACAATCGTTTTTTGGCACCCACGTGCTATACGGTGCGCGCGCACGCGAGAGGAATTGAGAGAAAGAAAAACGTGAATTTCTTCGTTCGAAGGTTCTTCGAGAACCAGTTTTTAATGTTTGTTGTATGTATCAATCCCGAATGTCGTATAAAATTATTCATAAGTTATCCACCTACGACGGACGCTTCTCAATGTCACGGATTTCGCATTTCTTTCTTAAGCATAAATTTCTCGAGCGCGGATACGAATTTTCAACGTCGCAGATCTCTTTTGCAAAAGGACACTGACTCACCGATTAGTAAAGTTGCAGCAAGGACGACGGAGGAGAGCGAAGACTGCATCATGGGTTTTCTTATATGGTATGCAAATCCGCGTGGTATAGCAGTGAGGTGCCACTAAATAAAATAATGAGAGGGATGGGACCATAATAAAAAAGTTAGTAAAAAAGAGAAAACGATAGAAAGAAATTTTTAAAAAATGTCTAAAGGCACGAAGGAGTGGCTGGTGCTCTAATAGAGACAAAACAGATCCTAAAGGTTTTAAAGGCTGAATATTGTTGGCTATGCCATGGTATACGTATGGACGATTGCTACGATTTCAATGCGAAAAGCTTGACAGGATGACGGGGAATCGCGTGCGCCAAAAAGTTTTGAAGAGATAAAAAATGAAACACACGACGAGTCGACGCACCGAAGACTATTGGCTTCTGCAACGACACGTTGGAATAACTGTCAAAAGGCATACGTATATGTATACTGGCTATGCTTCGTGATACCGACCCGCTTAGTTCTGGATTTACTTAACGCAGAGTGAAGAGTGCGCTAGACGTTGCTATTGTGTTTAGCTTTGGCTCCGTCGGTAAGTAGTTTCTAATGTAATTACCAACAGTTTTCATTAATACCGACCGATCCGTAACATTGACTTCGAACGAATGATCGATATACGAGACTGTTTTATCGTCGATTACGTCACACAGGTAATCCGTGGAAATAGACAGCGCAGATAACGGTATAACAACAAATAGCAATAACAAAGCAAAGGTAGGAATAGAAAAGTACATTCAAGGTATGATGTTTCAGAGTTAAACCGTAGGAAGACTGTACTAAGGAAATTTAAAAGATTTTTTAGCAATTCACGTAATTTATTTTTTTCTCTTGTTCAAGCGTTATACAACTGCACGTAATGGAATACAGTGAAATATTTATAACGAAGGGGGAATTCTTTGAATCAATTTTTAAACCCACTGTTGTATCGATGAACTACACTGAACGAGTGCACCGTAATCCTAAGACCGGTATTAGAAGGTCTAGTTGGCCGACTGGTCAGTTGGTAACGCGATACGCAGTTCAAAGTCGATCTGGCAAGATCTTCTCAGAGAGATCACGTTATTAATTACATACCAGGAAAGGAATTGTAATACACCAAAGCAATATGTTCCGAGGTGTGTACAGCTCGTAAGAAATGACTATGTTAAATTTTACGCGACATTTAACTTTCCATCGAGAAAAGGCATATCCGTAACGGTTTAAGTTTTCAAATTGCGACCGACCAGCGGTTATTAGAAATTCCTTGTCACTCGACGCACGGATGAACGATCTCACGGTATCTTATGCAACGGATGATGCTGCCAAGAAAAAGCGAATTAAAGATTCCTTTGAAACTCATGAATCAGTCGAGAGCCCCGAGTCCAATCCAGGTGATCCTTCGGACTGAGTCCCGGGATGCGTTCACCAGAATGGTAGCATATCGGTGACGTCAAGAGCGCCAAGAATTCCATTGCATAATGCATAAGTATCCGGTGTTATCCTGGCAATTAAAATGATCCATCGATAGGATGACGCGTGATCGAGTGTCGTATCCCATAATTATAAAGTGTCTCTAACCGAGAGAGACACCCGGTGCAAACTTGACAAGAGTATTTACTTGGGACCGGATAAGATCATCGAGTCCTGATATTAATTAGTCAAGAATGGCTTCTCTCGCGTTTCGCACGGTCTTATTAAATGATTCGCGCAAGCAAATAGAGCGACTTTTAAATAGGAAGCCGTGGCGCGATTGTTCCTTGACTCGTTTTACGATCGCAGCCGGCGCTGGAGAAATGTTGCGCGTGCAGCAAGACACGCCGGCTTGTCAAAGAGAAATTTTTATTTTACAACGACGACTCGTTTCCATAGCTTCGTTAAAAAGCAAGAGTTATTAACATGCAAATATACTAGAACATGGAGATATGAGAAAACGCAATAATTCCAATTAATTGGCAATAAATCAAAACGCGATATAGGATACACGGAAGACGATATTACGTCATGTAAGTGGG